TCATTTTAATTGTTACTTAAATCACACAAAGCACAAATAATTTATAAACTCCACCCACAATTTCTAAGCCCAGGTAACCATCTCACCAGCTCCCCCTCTAAGCCACTCTTCACTGGGCCCGTCACACACCATGTGAGTTTTCTCCATCGCCGTATGACCGTAGCCGCCGTTGCCAGGACTCTGCTTCTCCTGCCTCTCTCAAATTTGCTCATCTGAGGTTCCAACTTCCATTGCAGATATCACCTGCCTGCCTTTGATATTTACATTCTCTAGTATAACTGTTTTCAGGTGTTTAACTGTTGGTTCTTCCAGTATGATTTGCAGTTCTCTACAGCAAGTATGGCTTCTTTAGTATTAGAAATACTTACAATGCATGTGCAGCCAATCTCACACTAAGCATTCAAACATTAAAGAAATTGAGTTTTTAAATGGTATTCATGTTTGTTCAACTTGGCAAACCTTAAAACTCCACTATGTGCCCAGCACTATTAGGAGTGGGGAATTCACAGATTGAAAAAAACAAAACTTTAATGGCAGAACAGAAATCGGTCCCTTTTTTCTGTCTCTAACATACCCAGCACATGCCTCTAATATCTGCTGTGTTATGTTCTGATGTTCTGTTGCTTCCTTGTGGCCTCCCTCTTTGGCTTAGCACCTCTAGGGCAGGGAATGAATATTAAAAGTCTAGGTTCTGAGGGTCTGGCACACTCCCTGGCACGTACTAGGTTCTCGGGGGATGTTTGGAATGAGCCATTGAGCTGGACTATAGTATCGTTTGAGAAATTTTATGTTAGAGCCTGTATGGGATGCTGTGGGAGGATAGGAGAGAGGGTACCGAGCCTATTTTTCCATTTCTTGGCCAGGGTAAGTCCTTTTTGCCAAATTACAGTCCTGTCAGACTGCATTTGGACACTATTTCACTTGGACAGTAATTTTACTTAAACCAATATTGGCAGTCCTCACTTGGTGGATTACATTTTTGAGGAGGCACTGTAATTTAGAAGCATGTAAGTTGGCTAAACCGGAGTCTTTTATTCTGAACAAGGACTTAAAGCTCATATTTTTATGGAAAAGGCTTAAGTTTAATAAATTTTGATATGCCTATTTTCTTATGCAGCGTGAAGTTTTCTAAGGTTTAACAATCTATTGTATGATCCCACTGGTGTTTTAATGGTGTTTCACTCATTTATTTATAAGATTTACATAGAGATTGTGTAAAGTATTAATACATGGATGAAACTGTTAATACTGTAGCTATTTCTAGGAAGTAGGCCTGATAATGCCATTCAGGTGAGACAGGATTTCTATATTTTTCTTTAAACCTTCTGTATTGCTTTGAATTTTTATTTGTAATGAGAATGTTTTACTTTTATGTAAAAAACTGAATTAGAGTTGATATGAATGCCAATTAAATTATAATAACAACCTTAAGCAGTTTTTGGGAAGTGGTTACAGGCTAGGGAGAAAGTATAGGACTATGAGACCCCGAAAGGAGTGTTTTTTCCTGAGCAGAAGAGTTACTTCCTGGAGAAATGGCTGAGTGGAGTTAGGGGGCTGCGGCTGGATCTGCAGCTGGTGAGAAAAGGTTTTCAGGTGCCGAAGCACATCAAGGAGATTTTCCAGGGTAGGTGGCTTGTGCAGTTCCTGGCTCTAAAAAGCCCTGGGTTCGCAGGTATTTGTGATTAGATGAGTTCTGTCAGTGCCGGCTCCTGAATGCATGGGCCGCCTGCGTTGGTTTTATGTCACGGCAAAGAGCGACTGAGACCAGGAAAGGCCAGCAGAGCTTCTTCGGGTGTTAGGACTTAGCACCAAGGAAAGCTTTTTAAAAAATGCTTTATTGCACAGACAATATTTTTAGCTTTTTTTCCCTTATGATTTGAGTGAAAGAAAAGCACTATTGAGCATATGAAAACAAAGGCTACTGGCAAGAGATGGTTAAATGAATGTATATTTTGAAAGTTACAGAAGGTTCATCATTATTAAGTAAGGGGTATATTTTCATGAACCCAGATCTGAAAAACTTTGGGGTGGCATAATATGTCTTTTGTTTATTCTTGCCTGTTAAAATCAAAAGGGCTTATTTCATAATGTTAATACAGTGACTTTTTTGGGTCAACTTAAGTAGGTCACAGATGTATATTATAATAACTTTTTATGTTACTTTTATTACATAAACATTTTATAATTATTGAAGATTTATGTGATTCAGAAATATTATTTTTAACATTTCAAAATTCTACCATCACCTTCCCAAATTAACTTCTCTAAACTACTTCATACCCATGAACACATACATGCATATATGGCTTTATTGTATCTCATATATCTTACAACTTGCCTTTTTTTTTTAAACTTAACAATAGGCTTTGGAGCTTTTTCTGGGTCATTACTTATAATTCACCTTGTGCTTTTAAGTGGCTTTAGAATTCTACAATTTGAAGGTATCATATTCGTATTCTACTTAAATTTGAGAACAAATAATTAAGCTTTCTTCTAGCAGATTTTTGCCTGAAGAAGTCCTGAGGGACTTTACAGAGAATGATAGGTATTTCAGAAATTCACATTCTGTAAACTGGTATTAGGAGCATGGAATGAAAGGAAAAGGAGCTCCGAGTAACAATAAAGATCAGCAGAGGACCTTGTAAAATTAATTCCAAATACTTATTGCTATAACTTTTTGGCTGAAAAGCTTATTGGTGTCAGCCATATTTTAAAGAGAAATCAGACCTTGTATAGATAACACCTGATTTATGAAGTGTACAGTGCTTTTAAAAAAATATATAAATGCTTTTTCTCCTCACCCTTTAGTTCTGTATTATCTTTTGCAATGCTTATCATTTCTTGGAAAATAACTCTCAATAGCAGAAAGAGCTGCTTGGTTTTTTTTGTTTTTTTTTTTTTAAATATAGCAAGAAAACTAACAATTTGTGGACATAATGGTCATGTATTTTGACCATGATTAAGAGGCTACTGACCAGCTATAGACCACCGTTTTATTAAAATATAGGTTACAGCATTGAAGACTACAAATGAACCTTCCATGGAGTGATAAACTGTTCTTCTGTGCCTACCATTTTTTCTTCCCTCCCAAAAGACCAATGTTGTAATTTGTCTGTGGACTTTAACCCACACAGAGTTGTTGTTTCAATTGTAAATTTGGTAACATTTTAGAAGTTGAGTTATCTTCTTCATGGTGGTAATTTAATACATAAAAACCTGTTTAGACTCAAAATTTGGTTGCATTTTTTTACCCCATTATTATCTCTTCGCTTATAGGAACTGTATATTTTAAAGTTCTTCTGAATCCTAAAGCACCAAATATAGTTTTTGAGTCTTGTTAAACGAAGAAGTATGTCCTGGAGTTTTCATGGCACTTTACATGCTGTTAATTGCCATCAGTTAAAACTGTTACAAGTAATAATGTACTATAATCTGTTGAAAACCCGACCTTTCAATTTATCAATCCTCCAACCTTCTTTCCTTTCCTGTTCTTCAAGAGTAGTTTAGAGTGTGTTTGTTCTCACCTGTGCATGCCAGCGATCTCTGGCCCACATGTTGACTGGCCTACCAGGGAATCTGGCCTAGAATACAAGCCTATATTATGGCTTCTTTTTATCCCATGTTGTAATATATGTGGTTTAGTGGAAAGATGCATGTTTCTAATTCACTGTCGCTTTTATCTGCAGACTACCTATTATGAGCCAGTCAAGTTAAATATATTACAAATCCCTACCATAGTCTTGTAAAGTCAGTGATATCCCTGTTTTATACAGGAAGGAATGGAAGCTCAGAGAGGCATGTAGTTGTCCAAAGTCACAGAGCTGGTAAGGACAGCTGGTATTCAAACTCAGATCGAGTAGACCTGAAAGCACCTCTGTTTGACAAACTGTTCCTAGCAGACATAAGTTAGTGAGTTATAGAGAATGGATCTAAAAGGCCTATGGAAGGGGATGGGTGATGTCATACCTAACAGGTACAATGTATACTATCTGGGTGATGGGCACACTTAGAACTTTGTCTCAACGGTACAAAAGCAATCCATGTAACCAAAACATTTGTACCCCCATAATATTCTGAAATAAAATAAATTTAAAAAAGACAGGTGGTTTTCAGGGCTTTCAGAAACAACCTAGCCACTACTAGCTATGTGACTTTCCCCTAGTCTCAGCTTAGTTGCAAAATAGAGATTCTACTACCTATTTTGTAGGATTGTTGTGAAGATTCAATGGAAATGTATATAAAGCCTTTGACACATTAAAGGTTTTCATTAAAGTGACCTAAACTTCCCCTTCCCATCCAAGTCAAATTACCTTCTGATGAAAGTAGATGCCAACATTGACCAGTGCCCTAGATATGCGAGGTCCCCACCGCCCGTGGCCTGGTACCGGTACGTGGCCTGTTAGGAGTCCACCTGTGAATCACTGCCTGAGTTCTGCCTCCGCCGCCCTCCCACCCATACACCCTCTTTGGAAAAATTGTCTTCCATGAAACCGATTCCTGGTGCCAAAAGGGTTGGGGACTGCCTAGATAGTAGACCATTATTTAAAAATGTTTTCAAAATTAAAATTTCTAACTAATTTCCTATCCCCAAACACTGATTACGCTGTTCCCATTGTGTTTTCCATAGTAGGTCTTCTGAAGGACAGAACAGATTTCATTCCTGGCAGCAATGTAATTTGTAGTGGGGGTGTTTTGTTTTTATTTTTAATTTTTTTTTTTGTTTTAATCCATGTGGAGTTGCAAACATTTCTAAAGGGTCTTATGCTGCATGGGGCCCCATGCTGGCATTCTTTCTTAGCTTATCGATGCGGTGAGCTGTTGGCAGAGGTAGGGATGATTTAGAATAAAATGACATTAGGAAGCAAATGAGTTGAACAGTATTTCTCTGACTATGAGAATTTCGACTGGGCTAACCAGTGAGTTTGTGACGCTTTTATTTGCAAAACAGGTAAATTTATTTGACTGAAACTTTCTCTTTTTCTCTTGAAAATTGTTTTCAGGATGCAGAATAGAAAACTGTGATTCTTGCTTTAGCAAGGACTTTTGTACCAAGTGCAAAGTTGGCTTTTATTTGCATAGAGGCCGTTGCTTTGACGAATGTCCAGATGGTTTTGCACCATTAGATGAAACCATGGAATGTGTGGGTGAGTACTTCTTAATGGAACTCTCAAACTGTAACTTTTAACACCTGTTTCTTGAAACTCTGCATGCTGAATATATTTAACCTAAAAACAAATTGCTTCTCTTGTTAGTTAGAACTGAAAATTAAGTTCTTTGCCGATTTTCTGAATTCTTTAGGCATCATGACAATGAATAATCTCATATGTTATATCTTGCTACAAAATCTGTTAGTTGTGCCAATTGCTAGGTTAACCTATTTACTTGCTGATAAAGGTTTTTATCATCTGTGTAGTACATCCATTTCTTATCTAATAAATTAGTAACTCTTAGAGAAAAACACTTTGTTTAGAGAGAAATTTTTCAAGCAGTACCATATTGGTTACCTGCTTTATTGCTTTTGCTATTTATATGAATTTGGAGCTTCTTTCTTAGCCATTCATGTAAAACAAACAAAAAAAATCAATTGAAAAGAAATTTTTTGTACCAGGTATCTTTTGTTGATGATTGACTGCATGTTGCTAAGCACATTAAAACAATTTTATTATATAGAGACCTAGAATGCATAATATACACATATGGGCTATTTGTGAAAAAATAATTAGAAATACACATTTTATAAATGTTCTTCTGGGTGTTTGTAAAATACTTTGGCATTTTTATACCCCAGATTAAAAGACAAAGAAAGATCTGTCAGTGGGCACATTTTGATGAATGCCTGAATCTAATTCATAAATACAATGATGTGTCCCCCTTCCCCTGCCCTGTGCTTTATTTGATATTATGTATTTGATATGATACACAACAGAGCTCTGTTATAAATTAGACTTTTCACCCCTTGAAACAGAGACTTAAAAGTTGACCTTTTTTCTATTGAAATATTGCTGAAATAGTACACTTAAGTTCCCATTTATGTAGGTGACACTCTATTAAAAATAAAGTCACTAGAAGAGCATATTCAGAATGCAGAATTTTCTTTTGAGAGACAAGACTCACACCCATTACAAATGTTCAATGGAAATGCTGGTGAAATCCTTAACTATAAACATATTACAGATAGAGTCCTATACATTCCCCCAAATAAAAATCTGAAATGGCTTTGAAAAACATCTAAGAAGAGCTATGATGCCGATGAAGTGCAGAAAGCTGAAATATTAATAGCATGTGGACTCGGGGTTCGAGTCTTTATCCACTATTGTGAAAGGGCTTTTTTTGATGGTGAAGTTGATGAGGAAGTTTAAGTTGGCATATCTTTATCCTTTTCTTCCCTCCTCCACTTCCCCAGGGGTTGGGGGGTAGCTTACTTTTCCGCTATTGTGCAGTCACCAAAGGAGATGCTAAAAGCTTTTACATATCTAGGAAAAAACATACGTTTTCAAATATCTGATCATGTTTGTTTACTTTTCAAACTGTAGTAAAGTACAACACCAGTATATAGGGAATGAGAAGTACATACTGTGGTTTCCAGACACCTGTTGAAAGCATAGAGCAGTTAACTAATGTGGTATCAGAAAATGCAAAACAAGTTCCCCATCATTTTCACCAAGCATTTCCAAAATAAAACATTTTCGTTTGTTTCGATTAGTGGGACATTCAGAATTAATTAAAATTTTTGTCTTCTGTCATAGTATGAAATAGTGTCTTCTAATTTAGGTTTTTACCCTTTGAATCTTTTAAAGATTATACATTTCAGTGTCATTAGAATTGACCAGTAGCATTCTTCAAAATGGAAAGTAACAGCTTTCTAATTTCTTATGAGACATTTGTCTCCTTATGAGACATTTGTAGATGCAAGTATCCTATGGTTCAAAGAACTAAAGTTCCCAAAAGACAAGTATAGATCTTTGTGGGTTGTGCCACTTTTTCATATTCAAAAGGTAGGGGGAGTGGAGAAGCACTGCTTTATAAATCTGATGACAGTGGAGCAAATGGATACCAAATTGTTATCTGTGTTTGTGGTTTTTTTTTTAATCTTTATTAGAAGGATGTGAAGTTGGTCATTGGAGCGAATGGGGATCATGTAGCAGAAATAATCGCACATGTGGATTTAAATGGGGTCTGGAAACCAGAACACGGCAAATTGTTAAAAAGCCAGCAAAAGACACAATACCATGTCCAACCATTGCTGAATCCAGGAGATGTAAGATGACCATGCGGCACTGTCCAGGAGGTAGGTTTGAATACAATCACTACCGTGTGCGTTCTGAATTCTTCCCCTCCCTCCCCACCCTCCCTCCGAATAGAAAGTATTTGTCTATGAAGAAAACCTGATAATAACATTGTCGAGGGGATAAAATTCTGTTCTTCTTATTTAGAAACAAATGCTTAAGTTGTGCAGAATATAAAGTGAATATTGCATTTACTTCCATGATACCTTAAAAATAATTTAGAAGAATACATGAGAAATGAGCTTTATAAAATGAGATTTCTAAAAGTGTAAGTTTTTTTTGTTGTTCTGGTTTTTTTTTTTTTTTTTTTGCAAATGTATCATAAAAGCGAGTTCTTATGAGATCAGGCCTTTGCAGATGTTGCTATCAGGGGAGCAGCCAATTTTCAATTGAGAAGAGTTTAGATTAGAAAGGTTTATGGAATCTTTGAAATCATCTGCATCCTTACTAATTGAAGATGACAACTTAAAATAAACTTGCCCAAACATTGGGAGGAATAAATGTTGTCTTAATGTTACCACAATTAGCCGTTTCTTTTTGTTTTGATAATAATTTGCAGAAAACAGCTACTGGTATGTGTGTGTTTATTCAAATCTTTGTAGTAATTGTGCTGATTTGCAGTAATTATTCTCTAATAACAGGATTATAAGAAGGGTACATAGCTAACGTGCTGGCTGAAGCCGAATTAGTACTTTGAAATGCAATTCTTAGCACTGTCACTGTGCCACTTAAAGCAGTAATCACTCGTTACCATTTATTGTATCACTAGCAGATTCTATATCGCTAGTGATGAAGTTGGGATTTTCTAGTGCACAAAATAGAAAATGCAAAAAAGAAAGTTATGTTTGGCAAACTGCCCTATAAAATAATCACAACTTTGTTTTGCCTTCATTCTTTCGGTCGGGGCATAGCTTTTCAGCTTAATGACTATAGCCTAGAAAGAGGATATATATCTGCTTAAAATGGGTTTATGTCCATATTATGCTGCCTCATAGAGAATGTCTACAATCCATGGAGAAAGACAGAACTTTTAAGACTTGAAGACTCCAGTCGGCCTTTGAGAACTATTAGATCCAGATTCAGAAGCTACTATTAGGAAAGCAGCTTTTCCTCTTGAATTAGTTTTGCTTTTCCTTACTGGGTCTTTGAAACAAAGTTTTTTTGGGTCTGCTTTTTCACTAACAAGGATGGTTTTGTTCACTTAAACTGGGTATTTTTCAGTCAAAATATAAGAAAATATTTTCTTACAAAACTAATAAGCCACTTCTTGGATAGCTGAGAGCATTTAACCTGCAACCTTCTGCCTAAAAACAAACCTGATGTATTCAGGTATTGGAAATAAAGACTTTCTTTGTTGTATATTGTTTATATAACTAGCCCCTCCCCCCATTCCTCTTCCAGCAATGTGGTCCCCCAATTGTGGTTTATGTTAATAGCAAAAATTAAACTAAAAATGCTCCTATAACAAACATGCTCATGTGTAACAAGAGCCAACACATTTCCCTCCCCTCCAATACTCTTTATTTTGACCTAGCCCTGGTCTTGCTTGAGAATTTCCCAGATAACAGCTAGATTGTTAAACCATAATGTTTATTGCATTCGTATTTTTTAATGCTACCAACAAGAGTACACTGTCTTAATGGAATATAACCCGAGACTGTCAGCAATTTAAATTATGCCAAAACAAATGCTTATGTATAATCTGCTAATATTTTCTTTTTGACAAGTAAACCAGTAATAGACTCTGATTTAATTTGTATTTAGGTTTTACCAAGGTTTGTTTATTAGGAAAGAATAGCTATCACTCTAATCCTTGTATCCACATTTTCAGTTTAATAAAATCAATTTTTATATAGCCTCTAAATTCAGCAGGTTTTCAAAGTTATATTGAAATATGTTTTTTTCAAAAGGAATTAAAATATAATATTATAGAAATGCTAAATTATTCTGCAATAAAATAACTTTTGTTTACAAAGAAATGAAAACTAGAAAATTAGTTTTGTAACTTGAGCATCAATTGATAAAAATTGGCATAACTTCTGGTAGAGTATTCCACCTTGCCTCAGGTGAGAGAGGGAAAAGTTCCTTTTTTCAGTAAGTCACGGTGATTAATGGAAGAATGGAGAAGAAAACCACTTTATCCCTTCTTACATCTTGATTTGATCTCAGTGATCTGGTTTGACAAACCATGCAAAAATGTAAGTCATAATCAGGTTGGGAATACAGGCATTTTTTTTAGATCTTTTCAACATATGTATGGATTTTTCTCCTGTTGGAGCCAATCTTAACCTGATTGCGCACAAACGCTGCCTTAACCGCCCTCACACTAAGGCAGCAGCACATTAAAATCAGCTGCTTTCGATTACTGAGAAGCATAAGTTAGAGGTCAGTGTAATGGAATAGTCACTAGTGTATAAAGATATTACACTGAAAACTATTAAATATTAAAAAATAAATGGCTATAAGGGTTAAAAAAAAAACCCAAATAGTAATAGTAATATTCTAGCCTATTTTTTCCTTATGCTTATTTGCTTTAAAAAAAATCAAAGAATATCTGGAAATATCTTAAGGAGTGGATTGATTTACATTTGAAGTACTCAGTGTCCATTCCCAAAATTGTCTTTTATAGATTAGTTATCTTTTCTTTCAGCTTTGATGACGTAACCTGTCAGGTTTCTTGGACTTTTCCAACACTTATTTTTCAGGGGCTGATCTGGCGATCCGATGTCTGGGTCTCTGTATCCTGTCAACTCATTAATTCGGTGACCCTGGCAAGTCACTTAACCTCTCTTGGCTCCATTTCCTCATTTGTAAAATTGAGGGTATTGGGGCAGGTGATCTCTGAGGTCCAGTCTAGTTCTAAAATCCTATAATTCTAGGATTAATTGCCAAAAGATGTGGGCAAGTTCTATGGTTGTCATGTGAAGGATGAGGAAGAGATTTGGAAGCCCAAGAGCATAGTTTCACAACCAAAGATCTGAACGCTTTCCCTGTAGCTGCACTGTGCCTTTGCTAAGCCTTATACGTCAGCAGCTTCCAAACTTCTACTTCAGACAGGACTCTGCTTGGGTACTTTCAAAGGCTAAACAAGATTCTTTTTAAATCTGCATGTGACCTATAGTTTAGCTGCCAATATAGCAGAAGGTATAGAGAATTAAAGGTATAGAGAAAAGAGGAAAAAAAGGGAGCATTAAAAGACCATAGGGGAAAAAAAGATGGACAATGAGTGACAGAAAAAAATATTAGACAGTGAGTGTAGGAATCAAGTGCAAGTAAGAATGAACTACTTAAAAATGAAGGCTTGTACTCATTGCAAATATATAACTGTCTCCACTCCCTTTGCCCCCTCCCTGAGTATACTAATTAGTAAAATTAATCCTGTTGGGACTAATTTATTCTATTATAACCTGAAACTTTAAATGGAAAGAATTTCAAGCCTGGGCCATGTTGTATGTTCGGCAATATCTTAATAGAAAGATATAAAAATGCTATTATCATCTTGATAATATGATGAACTAACATCACAATCTCAACCTGAAATATTCTGTCCTATCTGTATGGGATGCCTTGTTTTGTCAATTTCCATGATAGCTAATTTTAATTTATTCCATCAGATATTTGTTGAGCTCTGTACATACCAATCATTGCTCTAGGCATGGGATTGTTCCAGGAGTCCTTATAGAGCTTTTTCTAGCAGGAATAACTGCACAAATAAGTAAATGAGTGTGAATAATTTCATGTGGATACAAGGGCTGTGGAAAAAAAGGATAGGGAGCTAGTGAATAGTTTGAGGGTGTACTATTATGTAGGGTGGTCAGGAAAATTGAGGAAGTAACATTTGATCAGAGATATGAAGGACGGAGATATTTTGAAGATCTAAGGGATTTTTTTTGTGTGTGTGCGAATATCCTTGATTCTCCCCCATATTTCAGGGAAGAGGAACGAACTGAGCTCCAGGGCAGCTCTGACTGGTCCAAGGTGATACGTAACAAGTCATTAGTGGGAGAGCCAAGAGTAGAACCATCTTCTTGCTGCGCAGGAAACCTAAGATTTTGTGTGCCTTTTCCTTATTCCTTATGATAAAGATCAAAGATAAAGCCATGGTTGTCCCACATCAAAATACCCAACTTTTAACTATTTTTCCTTCCATGCAGAAATATCATTTTAATTTTGCTCCACAAGTACTTTAAAAAAATATAATTCCCTTCCATCACCACCACCACCTGACATCTTCCAATCTGGAATAGCCAGTGAAATGTACCCCAAAGGTCATTGCGTGTTTCAGAGGATTGAGCCACGGTCTTGGCTTTGATTCAGCTGCGTGTATTAAGGTCCTCTTCTCCTTTAGAGTCATCAGTCCTTAGTTTGTAGGGGGAAAATGTGGCTTCAGGATTGTTCTTTCCATTTTTAGTCTTTCAAAGTTGGACCTCTAGAGGGGGCTGCCTTGTGCTGAGCCACACCCCAGTTCCTCATTCCTCAATCTCTGGCTGATTGCTCCTCAGCCTACACGGAAGCCACAGGTAATCTGAGCCCCGCCCCACATCTGTGCCCAGCATGGTTTTCTTTCTGACACATTTCAGCAGTCAGACTCTTAAAGGTAATTTAGGTGATGCTTTGACATAGGCTGGAATAGCTTTTTGCCTCTTGCTCATGGCTGCCTCACCTTGCCATAGTGTGATTGTTAGTAACCATATAGCAGTTCTTAAAGCTCTTTAGTCAGATTTTTTTAGTACCGTGCTAAAATTTAAATATGAAATTTGCTACCGCATACTATTTCAACTTGAACATATTCTTATGAGATGTTACCTGGTCATTATCTTTTTTTTTCAAAAGTAGCTTTTAACTTGGTAGGAAATAATAGAAAATATTAATTAGCAATTTAGAGCATTAATCTCTGCACACATTGCTTTTTAAAAGGTAATAGTAATAATACCTCTCTAATCCATGTTTTCTGTACATAAACTGATAGCAACATGTGGACTAGGTATTAGATAATATAACT